AGTATGGGATTGTAATGAGTCTGTGTGGCAACATAGGCACTCCTGATTAGGCCAATACATCCTGTGCTTGTCACTCTTTTTAGGGAGATTTGGGAACCAGGCGGATCATTTCCTGGGCTCCTTGGCATTTGCCAAGATGCTGAATCGTACTCTGGCTGTTCCTCCCTGGATTGAATACCGACACCACAAGCCTCCCTATACCAATGTGAGTCCTGTTCAGCCCATTGATATTTTCATGTTGGGTTCTCTACAAACGAACTCATGTTCCACTCGCTACCTGTCAGGTGCATGTACATTTGTAATGGTACATACACGTTCCTGATTAATACATTCAGCACAGCTTAATATAACAAGTGGGCCCAGACAGGCTAAATGTTCTACATGCATAAAGGAAAAAAAACAGTCTCTGCTCCAAGCACTTTGCAATCTAATAGTCTAGGGAGACAAGTGTCCGTATGGCCGGTTGTATATTAACATAACTCAGGTTATTGGCTTTGAAATGTAGAAACCAGTTGGGTTTTGTCTTTTCAGCGTTATTATTGATGTTTATTAAGAACTGACAGTGTACTCCATGATGTACAAGACACAAAATAGAGAGAGCCTCTGCTGCAGAGAGCTTGCATTTTGGAAGAGAGGATGTGCTGATACACAATATATGAAGAGACTCCTGAGTTTGACAATCTCAGAATAGTTGCTATTGGACAGATGTTGCCAACGGCACTAAGTGGTCCCATTATTGGTGGTTACAACAAAGACTTCAAGGTCTGAATGGATTGTGGGGACTGAATTTCCATTGTGCCTGTAGAAATGGTCCCTCCAACTAAAGCACATTGCTGCGGCATTTGGGGATTCTTGTCCTGCTGTTTGCATGCACTGAATCTCTTCCGTGGACATCTAGAGGATTTGAGTCTTTAGGTCAGCTCTTGTACGTTTCAAAGGGAGACACGCAGGGGGTTAGCGGGCACCCTCGTTATCAACTAATTGAGTAGTGGATGGAAATTCCATCGACTACTTGATTAGCTAATTAATTGAAATTTAACATCCCTAGCGGGAAAACATTATTACTGAGTGGTTTGCATCAGCTGCTGTTCAAACAATTCCTGTCTAGTCCTCTTATCCCTGAACTTTACCACCTTTTGTAATGGGCCAGTGTTACTTTTATAAAAAGTGTCAACCTGTTGAAAGTGGGGTATAAAAGTTCCAGAGATAGCTGTTGTTCACTGGGGTGCCTCTCATAGGCTGATCTGGATGCTAGTGGTGCATTTGATGACTCATTAGGTGATGTTTGGACTGACTTCCATTTGCAGTAAGCAGATCTCATTCTCTCATTCACAGTTGCATGTTTCCTACAAGGAATACTTCAAGATGGAGCCTCTCTTAGAATATCACCGTGTTATCAGCTTGGAGGACTTTATGAAGAGCTTAGCACCCATTCACTGGCCTCCTGGCAAGCGAGTGGCTTACTGCTTTGAAGCAGCAGCTCAGAGAAGCAGTGACAAAAAGACTTGTCCCATGAAGGTAAGTGTCTCGCTCCTGTTCTGCTAGTTTAAGTAAGAGCAGGGGTGAGCAATAATTTTTGACAGGGAGCCACTCCCAGATTTTGGAAAGTAGTCGAGGGCCGCACTCTTCCATGATATTAATGGAGGCCATGCGGGGTCTGAGATGGAGGTTGGGTGCAGAGGAGAGCTTGGGGTAAGGAACTGGGGTGCAGGAGGGAGAATGGTGTCTGGGAGGGAGTTTGGGTGAGGGAGATGGTTGTGACCTAGTGCAGAGGTTTGGGATGTGACCTAGAGTAGAAGAGGATTGTGGTCTGGGGCAGCAGATTGGTGTATCAGATCTGGGAGAGGGTATGGGTGCAAGAGAGGGGGGCAGAGAGTCTGGGTATGTTGTTTGGGGGCAGAGGGTGGGGCAGGGAGGGGCTGGGTTGCCAGAGGCAGGCTCTGGCCAGGAGACTTATCAACCAGCAGATAAACCAGTCTGTCAGCCTGCAGAGCTAAGGCTTGCAGAGCTTAAAACCTTTCCCAGCCAGCCAGCCTGCCTGCCTGCCCAGCCACATGCTTGTGTGAATAACTGAGGGGAGGGGAGAGGACATGAATCTTCTTGGATGCCTGTTATTCAAACAGGCAGCTCCCATTGGCCAGTTTCTGGCCAGAAACTGGCCAATGGGATTGTGCTAGGGGCAGGAGCAGCTCCTGAAGCTTTCCCTTCTCCCCTCTAATTTTGAAACAGAAATGGGGCCCGGCAGCTGCATTTCTGAGTGGCATGTGGGGCTGCGGGGCAAGCAGGCAAGCCTGCCTGGAGCTCCCTGGTGCCTCTGCAGGCCACATTTGGTGGCTTGGCGGGCTGAATTCAGCCTGCAGGCCATATTTTACCCAGGCCTGAGTAAGAGGAATGATTGGGTCTGAGACTGGTATTTATTTACTATTTTGGGACCTTCCTAAGGCCTGGTATCTGAGACCACTGTACAGTGCAGTTCTTCCCATGCTTATCGTAGATATTCACTCTGCAGGGCATTTCAGGCAATCTATCCATGTACAATCCTTGCACTAGAACCCATCTCTGGGGTACTTACATTCAGGTTTGATGGGGACAGTGGAGGGCCAGGAGTCAATAGAGTGGTATGTTTGAGTGAATTTATCATATTCAAAGTAACAGTACCTTAAGGTGAAAACAAGACCTTAATGGAAAAGCAGGCATTCTCTGGCCTTTTACCCAGATATCAGACCCATACGACAATTATTCCCAACTGGTTTTAAAAGCCCAGCTCCTTCAGGACAAATGTTCACTGGACATCAGACCCCTGTAACTTGATATATTTTTAGGACACCTTTTGGAATAGTCTTTTATTTTAATATAAGGACCCTCCTTATTTTATCTCTTTCTTCCCAACAAAGTTGTTCGGTGGTGAATAGGGATGTGAATGATTAACCAGTGAGCCTCACCCTTAACAGGTGACCTGAAGAGTTAGACTTATCATTTCTAGTTAACTGATAGGGGCTGGAGCAGCTCCCCACCTGCCCCGGGTAGGAGGCTGCGCCAGTCCTGCAGGACCCAGAGCAGTCCTTATCCATGGCAGGTCTGGCCACCCCCGCTGCAGGCAGGGGCTGTTCTGACCAACTGCCTGGGGCCACTGGGCTGGAACACCTCCCCCTTCCCCTCAGCTAGTCTTCCCCTTTAGTTGCTTAACCGGTTAAATATAATGTGTACCCTCCTTAGGAGAGGGTCTATTAATCGAGATTCTCTATGTTCTAGTCAGGATGAGAGGATGGAAGATGATAAAGTATGGATAAGGTCAGATGAGAAATAATCACATGGGAGAGAGTCTAACACACCATGAAATGGCAGACAGATAAATAGTGACACGTTTTTAAAGTGCTTATATACAAACGCTAGAAGCCTCAATAATCAGATGGGTAACTAGAGTGCCCCATATTAAAGGAGGATATTGATATAATAGGCGTCACAGAAACTTGGTGGAATGAGGACAAACAATGGGACACAGTCATACCAGGGTTCAAAAGGACAGAACAGGTCGTGCTGGTGGGGGAGGGGCACTATACCTGAGAGAATGTGTAGAATCTAATGAAGTAAAAATCTTAAATGAACTAAACTGTTCCATAGAATCTCTGTGGGCAGTAATTCCATGCTCTAATAATAAGAATATAGCAGTAGGGATATATTATCGACCACTTGACCAGGACCGTGATAGTGGCTATGAAATACTAAGTCATTCTGCCGCTCTACTCTGCACTAGTTAGGCCTCAGCTGGAGTACTGTGTCCAGTTCTGGGCGCCACATTTCAAGAAAGATGTGGAGAAATTGGAAAGGGTCCAGAGAAGAGCGACAAGAATGATTAAAGGTTTAGAGAACATGACCTATGAAGCCAGGCTTCATGAACTGGGCTTGTTTAGTTTGGAAAAAAGAAGATTAAGGGGGGACATGATAGCGGTTTTCAAATATCTAAAAGGGTGTCACAAGGAGGAAGGAGAAAATTTGTTCCTCTTGGTTCCTGAGGACAGGACAAGGAGTAATGGGCTTAAAGTGCAGCAGGGGAGGTTTAGATTGGACATTAGGAAAAAATTCCTAACTGTCAGGGTGGTCAAATATTGGAATAAATTGCCAAGGGAGGTGGTGGAATCTCCCTCTCTGGAGATATTTAAGAACAGGTTAGATAGACATCTGTCAGGGATGGTGTAGACGGAGCTTGATCCTGCCTTGAGGGCGGGGGGCTGGACTCGATGACCTCTCGAGGTCCCTTCCAGTCCTATTATTCTATGATTCTATGATAAGAGTGGATTCCATCTGGAAGATGCTTTGGCCAAATGTGAGTTGGATAAAATTTCTTGATACCTTAAATGACTGCTTCTTGGAGCAGCTGGTTCTGGAACCCACAAGGGGACAGGCAATTAGTCCTAACTGGAGCGCAGGATCTGGTATAAGGATGTTAAATTTCAGTTACCTAGATAATTGTATAGTTGATACAATTTGTATTGACTGTACGATTAGTTGCAGAGCCACAGCAGGGGTGGCTGCAGGAGCTGGCTCAAGTTGGGACTGAGCAGTCCCAACTCGTGCCAGCTCCCAGAGCCACCAGTGCTACGGCTCTGCATTTTTAATGTGGTGAGAGCCTGGCAGCTCTTACTACATTTAAAATGGAGATCCTCAGCATCACAGATGAGCTCGAGCCGGGACTGAGCAGCCCCGGCTCTCGCTGAGTCCTGTAGCCTCTGTCTGCCATGGACAGCCTCTCTTTGTGGTGGCGCTCTTGCTCCATTTCAAAGGCTGAAGCACCACAGTGGGAACCACGGTTCTCTGCTATGCCTTTGCCTCTCCTGTCCTCTGTGGAGACAGTGCTGGGGGAACCGGCTTTTAAGCTGGCTCCCCCAGCACCGGCTCTTGCTCCCCACCCTCCCTTGCTGCCTCTTTCTAATAGAGGCAGCAAGGGGGAGGAGAAGTTACTGGTCAAATCACTACTTGACTTCCGATAAGTTTATGCTTATCGGATAGTTGACTAGTCACTTACGCCCCTAATCTGGTCCAAGAGGTAAATATAACTGGACCACTTGGAAATAGCAACCATAATGTAATAACATTTAACTTCCCTGTGGTGGGGAAACACTGTGGCATTGAATTTCAGAAAGGGAAACTACACAAAAATGAGGAGGTTAGTTAAATAGAAATTAAAAGGTACAATGACAAAAGTAAAATCCCTGCAAGCTGCGTGGAAACTTTTCAGATACACTATAATAGAGGCCCAAGTTAAATGTATACCCCAAATTAAAAAATACACTAAGAAAACCAAAGAAGTGCCACCATGACTTGACTTAACCAAATAAAAACAGCAGAGAGAGATAAAAAGGCATCGTTTAAAAAGTGGAAGTTAAATCCTATTGAGGAAAATAGTAAGAAGCATACACTCTGTCAAATTAAGTGTAAAAAATATAATAAGAAAAGCCAAAAAGGAGTTTGAAGAACAGCCAGCCAAAAACTCAAAAAGTAATAGCAAAATGTTTAAGTACATCAGAAGCAGGAAGCTGGCTTAAACAACCAGTGGGGCCACTGGATGATTGAGATGCTAAAGTAGCACTCAAAGACAATAAAATCATTGCAGAGAAACTAAGGGTATGTCTACACTTGCACCCTCTTTCGAGAGAGGGATGCAAATGAAGACATTTGAAATTGCAAGTGAAGCTGAGATTTAAATATCCCGTGCTTCATTTGCATTTTCGTGTTATGGTGCTATTTCGAAATAAGAGACTCTGTTAAGACGTGGTTATATTTTGAGAAAACCCTTCACTCGAAATAACCCTTACTCCTCATGCTAGGAGGTTTACCAGTTATTTTGAGAAAAGGGTTTTCTCTCGAAATAACTGTCTTAACAACGTCTGTTATTTCGAAATACTGTCATACTGCGAATATGCAAATGAAGCACGGGATATTTAAATCCCGGCTTCATTTGCAATTTCAAATGTCTTCATTTGCATCCCTCTCTCGAAAGAGGGTGCACGTGTAGACATACCCTTAATGAATTCTTTGCTTCAGTCTTCATGGCTGAGGATGTTAGGGAGATTGACAAACCTTAGCCTTTGTTAGGAGACACATCTGAGGAATTATCCCAGACTGGGGTGTCGTTAGTGGAGGTTTCAGAACATATTGATAAACTTAACAGTAGGGATGTTAAATTGAATTCTTCTCAGTTACTCAACTATTCTGTAGTCCCTGGGGGTGGGGCTGGCACTCCAGTCCTACTCCTGAGGAGCCCCCTGCCCTGCTGCCTCTGTATCAGAGGCAGCAGCAAGCTGTGTGAGGCAAGAACTGTTCTGTGAGGGGAGCCAGTTTAAAAACCAGCTCCCCTCATGGACCAACTGCCTGTCGCACCGCGCTGCTGTCTCTTGATACAGAGGCAGCAGCGCGGCGTGGCAGCAGCCCCTGTCTAGGGTGGGTAGTGAGCTCCCAGACCCAGCATGAGCCAGAACTGAGCTGGGCTGCCTGCCCTCCTGGCTCCTAATACACTTTAAATGCAGAGCTGCAGCAGGGGTAAGTCCTGGACCTGGCGCAAGCCAGGACTGCACTGAGCTACTGGCCAGCCTGCTAAAAAATTTAGTGGTCTGTATGTTGCCTATAACATTAACCGATAAGCTTTTGCTTATCGGTTAATTGACTACACTGTTACATCCCTTCAAATAGATCTCACCAAACTAAGTGATTGGGCAACAAAATGGCAAACGAAATTTAATGTTGGTAAATGTAAAGTAATGCACATTGGAAAAAATAATCCCAACAATACATACAATATGATGGGGACTAGTTTAGCTATAACTACTCAAGAGAGAGATCTTGGAGTCATTATGGATAGTTCTCTGAAAACATCCACTCTGTGCAGTGGCAATCAAAAAAGCAAACTGAATGTTGAGAATCATTAAAAAAGACACAGAGAACCTCTTATTGCCTCTCTATAAAACAATGGTATGCCCAAATCTTGAATACTGCGTACAGATGTGGTTGTCTCATCTCAGAAAAGATATATTGGCATTGGAAAAGGTTCAGAAAAGGGCAAGAAAAATGATGAGGGGTTTGGAATGGGTCCCATATGAAGTGAGATTAAAAACGCTAGGACTTTTCAGTTTAGAAAAGAGGAGACTAAGGGGAGGATAGGATAGAGGTCTATAAAATCATGACTGACACACAAAAAGTGAACAAGGAAAAGTTATTTACTTGTTCCCATAATATAAGAACTAGGAGTCTCCAAACGAAATTCATAGGTAGCAGGTTTAAAAGGAAGGGGTGTTTTTGTCATTCAGCGCAGTCAACCTGTGGAACTCCTTGCCAGGGGATGTTGTGAAGACCAGGACTTTAACAGGGTTCAAAAAAGACTAGATAAATTCATGGAGGTTAGGTCCCTCAATGGCTATTAGCCAGGATGAATAGGAATAGTGTCCCTGGCCTCTGTTTGTTAGAGGCTGGGATTGGGTGACAGGTGAGGGATCATTTAATGATTCTCTGTTGTGTTCGCTCCCTCTGGGGGACACCTGGCATTGGCCACAGCTTGAAGACAGGACACTGGGCTAGATGGACCTTTGGTCTGACCCAGTATGACTGTTCTTATGAACTGGTTAACCAATTAAATGGGATTTTTACATCCCCAGTGGTGAGCATACCAGACTGCAGTCAACCCCTCAGTAAGCATGTCTTTCTGTAGCAGAATTCTGACTGCAGACCTCTGTGTCCTCCACTTTTTTGGACTCTAGCTCTAAAACCAGGGATCCTGCTAATTGCACACAGCCAGGTTCCATATGCTGTGTTGAATGAGTAGTTACCTTTGTTTTACAGGATGGAAATCCCTTTGGTCCATTTTGGGATCAATTCAACGTGGACTTCAATAAGTCTGAGCTCTTCGGAGGCATTTCCTTCAGTGTCTCTTACAAGGACCAGTGGCTCCAAAGGTAATGAGCTTGGGGAAGCTGTGCATGTGAACTTCAGAGAGAAATCTTGCATCTATTTCCGTTTTGCATTGGCCCAAACTTATTTCCCATGGACAGTATTAGAAGTGTAGTATGTAGGGATGAGCGACTTGCCAGCCAATAAGTGATTGATAATATTTAATTACCATGTTTATTGGCTGAGTCTTCAAGTGCTTTTTGGAAGTAAATCAGAAATAATTCAGATCTCAGCTGGTGAATAAAGGTCACACTACACTACACTTGTTCATTATCCACGTCTTGTTCTCAGAGCCACAAGTGGCCTAATATTTATTTCTACAGTTGGCCTGTTCATCAAAACTACTTTGTCCTGAGGTGAAAAATATCAGTACTCTTCAGTTAAGTAATTAATCCTCTACCATGGGTGTCAAAGCTATATTTGTCATTGTTCAGTCCCTCAGATTGCAGTAATTCACTTCTCATTTGCTGTTGAGTCGGAGGTAAAAAACAGTGTCTTGTTACGAGTTGTGTATAATTCATAAGCTGAAATGGTGAAGAGCCATTTTATTTGACAGCAGGAGTGATAGACACTGTTATAATTCAGTTTGCATAATGGTTTCCATTCTAACTCTCTGTTTTCAGTACTTTTTACACAAGGTTTTTCACGAAGCTCATAAATTTCACAGCTAAGCTTGGCTGCACCGTGCATGTAGGGACTAGCTAGCTATGCCCTGAAACTTGTAGTGCAGGAGTGAAGACCAGAGTTCAGCGCCTACATCTCTCATATGGTTGTTCTAAGGTGGACACAAGCTAGACTTCTCCTTGGACTTCCCACGTGATGGGGAGAGCAGGAATTTCTCTGTCCCTTAGGACGTAGGTTTGTAGGGGCAATAGATGGGGATGAGGGACTCAAGGACACGTGAGAGAACTGTAAGGATGGTGGTGGAGAAGAAGACATTTAGTTTGTTCTTGAAAGTGTCTGTGATCGTGTAATAAACACTGAATCCTAATGCATGTACCTAAAGGGATGGATTTAAAATCATTCAGGTAGCTCTAATTTTGGCAATTCTTGGTTTTGACTGGCTAGCCATATCATCTCTTCGTAGGTGTAATTCTAGATTAAAATCTACTGCTTGAGCTGCTTCTTTGCTGGTTGGTTCACTAGACTTCTGTAGTGCAGGACTGCTTTGTTCTTTCCACTCCATGGAGTAACTGGCTTTTCTCATTTATCCAGGCAAGCTAACAAGGCCAAAAGGTTTCCTGCACACCTGTTTTCTTTCTTTCCCAGAGATGTTGAATATACACGGATCTCCTCTCTTATTTCTACTTCCAGGTTTCCTCCATCAGAGCACCCTGTTCTTGCTCTACCTGGAGCTCCAGCTCAGTTTCCAGTCTTAGAGGAGCATCGGCCTCTGCACAAGTATGTGGTGTGGTCTGATGAGATGGTGCAGAAGGGAGAGGCCTATATTCATTCTTTCCTGGTTAGACCCTATGTAGGAATTCATCTGAGGATCGGCTCAGACTGGGTATGGCTCTTATGTCAATTTTGGTGGGTCTGGTGCATGCAGTCAGTGTCATCACTACGCCACTGGCCTAGCGATCATTGTCCCTATAGAACAGTGTTTCTCAACCTTTTTTTTTTTAATCAAGTATCCCTTTTTAAAACTATATGGCTGCGTCAAGACTGGCAAGATTTTGCACAAAAGCAATTGTCTAGACTGATAGGGACTCCAAGAAGATCTCACCAAAAGGAGTGATTGGGCAACAAAATGGCAAATGAAATTGAATGTGGCTAAGTGTAAAGTAATGCACATTGGGAAAAATAACCCCAACTATACGTACAGTATGATGGGGGCTAATTTGGCTACGACAAATCAGGAAAGCTATCTTGGGAGGTGAAGGGGGGCGGGGTGGTGACCTGCGGCATGACAGCGGCTCCAGGTCCCACCCCCTGGCCATGAACATCACAACCCCACCCCCCTTTGCCTCCCACAGTGGTGCTCGGCTGACTTCTGTGCTGCTCAGCTGGGCCGCCAGGCCGGAGCAAGTGGTGCAAGCAACTGCCTATAAGTACCCCCAGAACCTACAGTTTTCAGACACAATTTTTTTTTCTACCATTGCAACACATTTGTTTAAACAACTTAATCGTAGCCAGGCGGGCAATTAAATGTTTGGGTGTAAAAAGTACAAAAATAATAAAGTGCTGTAAAACTTAAAACAAAAATTCGGTTTTCTCCACATGTCAGTTCTGTTGACGCACCCCCCAGACTTCTCTCAAGTACCCCTAAGTGTCCTCGTCCCACTGATTGGGAAATGCTGCTATAGAAAGAATACCAAAAGAGAAACAGCGAGTAGCACAGATTCAATCAGTCGTTCTGGGGTGAGAGTCTAAACCGAGTTTGCACTCAATAACCAGCTGTGTTTGGATACTAGAAATGCTGGCTGTGTTGGAGTCAGTTGTTTTTTCATAGCTAGAGCCATTCATGTAGGGTCGTTCTTTTTTCTCCTAATAGAAAAATGCATGTAATATGCTGAAGGATGGGACGGCTGGATCTCACTTCATGGCTTCGCCACAGTGCGTAGGCTATGACCGAAACAACGCTGCGCCTCTCACAATGGACATGTGCCTGCCAGACCTGACGGAGATCAAGCGTGCACTCAAGCTCTGGGTGAAGCAGGTGGAAGCTAAGTCAGTCTACATTGCCACTGATTCTGAGGCCTACACTATGGAAATACAGCGGCTTTTCAAAGGAAAGGTGAGTCTTTCAGGCTCTCAGACTTACAGGACTAATCTCATCATGTCTTTCCCCTGCTAGTGCTGCTGCGTGCTCTGGACATCTGATTGTGTTGTGTGTTTAAGACTGACTAACCAGTAGATGGCAGGAAGTACTCTTTGTGCCCTAGTGCTGGATTAACAGTGGGGTAGATAATTTAGTGAGTGTCAAAGGATTGAATGTTTATTAGCTTGATCCTCTGAGGTTCTGAGTGTCCTAAGATTTGGGGAACATAAGGATGGCCACACTGGGTCTGACCAATGGTCTGTCTAGCTCAGTATCCTATCTTCTGACAGTGGCCAATACCAGAATGCCCCAGAGGGAGTGAACAGAACAGGTGATCATCAAGTGATACCTCTCCTCACCCATTTCCAGCTTCTGACAGACAGAGGCTAGGGACACCATTCCTACCCATCCTGGCTAATAAGTATTGATGGACTGACCTCTGTGAATTTATCTAGTTATTTTTTAACCCTATTTAAGTCCTGATCTTCACAACATCCTCAGGCAAGGAGTTCCACAGGTTGACTCTGCTCCGCATGAAGAAAAACTTTTTTTTAAACCTGCCACCTATTAATTTCATTTGGTGATCCCTAGTTCTTATGGGAACAGGTAAATAACTTTTCCTTTTTCACTTTCTCCTTACCTGTCATGATTTGATAGAGCTCTATCATGTAGAGACCTCCCCCGTCTCTTTTCTAAGCTGAACAGTCTTTGTGTGGGACCCGTTCCAAACCCTTAATCATTTTTGTGAGCCTTTTCCAATGCCAATATATTTTTTTGAGATGAGGCGACCACATCTGTATGCAGTATTCAAGATGTGGGCGTACCATGGATTTATATAGAGGCAATAAGATATTCTTTGTCTTATTCTCTATCCCTCTTTTAATGATTCCTAACATTCTGTTTGCTTTTTGACTGCCACTGCACACTGAGTGGATGTTTTCAGAGAATCCTCTATAATGACTCCAAGATCTCTCTTTTGAGTGGGTATAGCTAAATTAGTCCCCATCATTTTGTTTATATAGTTGGGATTATTTTTTCCAGTGCGCATTACTTGGTAAATGAATTTTAATGTTGACAAATGCAATTTTACTGCCCAGTCACCTAGTTTTGTAAAATCCTCCTGAAGCTCTTCACAATCTGCTTTGGTCTTAACTATCTTGAGCAGTTTAGTGTCATCTACAAATTTTGCCCCCTCACTGTTTATCCCTTTCTCCAGATCATTTATAAATGTTAAATAGGATTGATCCCAGGACGGACCCTTGGGGAATCCCACTAGTTACCTCTCTCCATTCAGAAAACTTACCATATATTCCTACCCTTTGTTTTCTGTCTTAACCAGTTATCAATCCATGAGAGGACCTTCTCTATTATCCCATGACAACTTTACTTAAGAGCTTTTGATGAGGGACCTTTTCAGAGACTTTCTGGAAATCTAGGTACAATCTAAGCACTCAGAACCTTGAAGATTGGGTCCTAGATAAATAACCGTAACCTCTTAAGAATCCCTGCACTCTCCCCTTTCCCATCAGTTGGCATGGGATATGTCGCTTTTCACCCAGGCATTGACCCTGGGCAGTGGAGCCCCAGTCCCCATGCCAGTGTAGTGGGAAAAATTGATGACAGAAATTAGAAAAAAGAAGTTTGGAGAAAAATAGAAAATATGGTAGCACCGCTATTTACCACCCTCACTAGTAGGTTTATTACTTGGGCTAACAAGTGTCGGGTAGCATTTCTAAGTCCTCCCAGTGTAGATCCGTGTGAACTTCAGGGTCGGCTTACCTTCCTCTTTGGAAAGTAATGCATGGAATGAGAAGTGACTTTATCCATAGCAACACGACAAGGATTCTTTGAAGATTTCAACTTCTTCCAGAAGCAAAATATCCTGCGTTGGCAAGGACGTGGGCTGAGTTGAGATGCCAATGTCATAGCATTACTTGCTGGAAGTCTTTGAAAGGGAAAGTTTAGACTGATTCCAGTTTGTATCCATTTGCTATGTTATGGCCGGGACACTCCTACCCTGGGACCATCTGTTCTGTACAGGGGATGGCTGGATTAACTTGTTCCTTTCCTTTCACTTTGCAGATCAAAGTGGTGAATTTACAGCCTGAAGTGGCCCAGATAGACTTGTATATCCTTGGCCAATCTGACCATTTTATTGGGAACTGTGTCTCTTCATTTACTGCCTTTGTGAAACGAGAACGTGATGTGCATGGGAGGCCCTCCTCATTTTTTGGCATGGACTATCCTCCGAGGCTGCGGGATGAATTCTGAGCAGGAGAGGAAGAGACAGATTTTGATTGTTCTCATAGCTCTAAACACCAATACACTGTCAGCAAATACACTATGATAAAAATGTCATTTCACTTCCACTATGACAGACCTGTGCCCAAACCTTCATCTTGATCTCACGTTAATCTTTGGATTTTTTCTGATCATCTTCTCAGTAATTCCATGATACCAGCATAAGATAAGAAATGGAAAGTGAATTTTTAACTCTGGGGTTGACCTCTGGAAACCTTCCGTTCTCATTATTTGGGATTTATCAGCCATCCCAATCAGATAGCAGCTCAGATTTCCCTCTCTCCATTTCCTCTATCTTACTGTTTCTTCTGCAAGTGCTGGGAAGCATTTTCAGATGCACCTGGGATGACAGGTGCTTAAGAAGTGCACACTAGTTTTATAAAGGGGCATGATCCATGAAAAGGAATGTTGCCTAAAGCTTACCCCACTGAGTATCAGAAGATCTGAGTTTTATTTCAAGCACAGCTGCTGTCTGACTTTGGGCAACTCACCTCTGTGCCTCCGTTTCCCACCTGTAAAATGGATTTAATACTTCTACCTCACAAGAGTGATGGGACTAAACTTAAAATATTTTGAAATGTCAAAAGTATGCTGTAGATGGTGATAGTACAGGCTGAAACTCTCAATTCTGGCATCCGGGGAACTGACTGGTATCGAACAAGAGAATTTGTCAAGCCACGGAAGGTCAATATTTTCTAGCAGCATTGCCAACATTGCCACTGTTTCTGGGCTCTTAGAAGACATTTAGGGATAAATTGAAGCTAATAACAGCACAGAACGCTGAGAGCCAGGACTGGTGGCTGTAAACAAACCTTATGGGACCACAGGAAACTTAGTCACGCCCATGATAAGTGCACATCTGGCTAACTAAGATCATGCCAGACCATGGATGTTGCTGGAATAGAGAGGTTCAACCTGTATATCATCATCATGACATGGCTGTCTGTTCAGTCTGTTTTAGTGCCTGCACTGAGCAGGGCACACAGGACACTAATGGGGCAATCTCGTTCAGTTTGTCAGGGCTAGTGTTTTGTGATTTCATTGCTGATGTCTCTTTCTCTGTGATGAGGATTATATTTGGTCCCAGGGATCTGTGAAAAATCAGTAAACCTTAACAATATTTTAAAATGAAACAAACTTTTAAAATAATCTCAACAGAGCATTCGGAGGACGTATGCTGGGCTTTTACCATGGGTAGGTTTCTGCATATTGTAACAAAGGGCCCTCTCTGCTGACAGCAAAACCTGGGCCACAATGATGGTTCCCATTCAACTGGTTAGGGACATTGTCCCTTTACAGTGAGATGCTAACAAACTCGGATTAAGACTTTTGACCAGTACAGTTTAATTTTGCACGGGCAACTCGATAGCCATGAAAAGATAACGATGTGGATCAACTCTTGATTGGACAACACCGGGCATCTTCTTGTTCCTGTGGCTATTTGTAAATGAGTGAGTTTTGACACACGCTCCTTTTTTATACGGATTAGTTGTACAGGTAGGGCATTTTCTCCTGATGTGGAACACTCTCAGATCTGAGCATCACTCTTTGGTTTAATTCTCAGTGTCTCCTTATTTGTGTTCCTGTGGTTTGTAGTGAATGTCAGAGGAGTTGAGGCCCAAGTTAAATTGGAAGCTAACTGTGGTGCTGCTTCAATATACACTAGCCTAGTGCTTTTCAATGCTAACTTTCAAAAATGTATCTGATTTGGTCGTTTCAGTAGGGCTAACTGCGAGCAGGTTTTCAGCTAGCTAGGGATACATGTAACTATGGAAGCCCATAAACCTAAGCAGTCCAGATCCATCAGTATTTGCTTCCAATTTGTGGTGGTACTGAAAGATACACTCAAAAGACTGCATTGATTAAGAATGGTGAATGATTGAACGATTACTGAGATTTGCAAAATATCATGGTTTAGAAGGTGTATTTTGATTTAAGCATTGAAAAGAAAATATTTTTGTACTTCTTTTTTCATAATAAAACACAGTTAAATATATCTTTGTCTTGAGTGTACCGAAGCTTACTGATTTCCCTTTTCCCTCAATTTGGATTGACATATTTGGTGATCGTTCTGCCTAAAGCAATGTACTTTAAGGTTGCCACATCTTAAAAAAAAAAAAATCCCATTACAAAGGTAAATCAGTGCTGTCATTTCATTTCACTTAGGAATATTCAAGAATATAAGAACAGCCTAACTGGGTCAGACCAGGGTCCATCTTGCCCAGTAACCTTTCTCCTACAATGCCCCATACCTGAGCATCGGGGAACGTACAGAACAAGGCAATTCTGGATGATCTACCTCATCTACTCCTGGCTTCTGACATTCAAAGGTTTAAGGTCACCCCAAACACTCGGTTGCGTTCCTGACCCTCTTGGCTAATAATCATCCATGGGCCTATCTTCCATGAATGTATCTAATTCTTCTCTGAACCTAGTTAACTCTTTTCACCATCGTAACATCCTGTGGCACTGAGTTCCATGGGATTGTGCTTTGCATACTTTTTGTGTGTATTAAACCTAATGCCTATTCATTTCATCAGGTGACACTTGGTTTTTGTAATGTATGACTGGGTAAATAACACTTCTCATTGGCTTCTTCCTCCCTCTCCCCAATTTTATAAACCCTTTATCATGATCTTCCTTATTCCTTTATTTTCTAAGATGATCCCTAATCTTTTTAATCTCTCGTTATATCTGCAACTAAATCTGTGGATGTAGCTATCCCCAGATCAGATGCAGACACAAATTTTGTATCTGCACAGGGCTCTACTTGTATGGGAACCATTCCATAATCTTGATGATCTTTGTTGCCCTTCTCTGAACTATTTCCAGTTCCGCTATATCCTTTTTGAGATGTTCAACCAGAAGTGAATACAGTATTAAAGCTACAGGCACACTGGATTTTATGTAGTGGCATGATGATATTTTGTCTTATTTTGTATCCCTTTCCTAATAATTCCTAGCATACTATTAGACTTTTTTGACTACTACTGGGCATTTGTAGGAATCTTTCAGAGAGCTATGCACAGTGATTCCAAGATCTATTTTAGGTGGTAACGGCTAATCTAGAACCCATCATTGTGTATGGATAGCTGGGATGATTTTGCCAGTGTATGTTACTTTGCACTTATCAGTATTGTATTTCATATACCATTTTGTTGTCCAGATACTCAGTTTAGTGAACTCCTGCTGTAACTTCTTCTGCTATATTCTTATTCAATATGGAATTTCTATCCAGAGAGATTCTGTGATACACTTTGATGCAATTGCAGTTTTAACTTTTTTTGACACTGCTGCTTTTAGCATAGTGCCACTGCCCCACCAGCATGACCTACTTTGTCATTCCTATTTCTTTTGTACGCTGGTATTACCAAGCCCATTTGATTAGCCTCATTCCATCATGTTTCTGCAACTCTCCTTATATCAATGACATAATTTAATATTGGGCAGTCTAGTTCACCATCTTAGTATTTAAACTTCTAGCATTTGTACATAAGCATGTGTACATTTTGTCAATATTTAGTCGCTTAACTTCATGTATCATGTTTAAATGGGATTTTTTTTAACATTTGACTGTTCTGTACCAGTTTCTGCTGGTTCTTTACCAACTTCTTTCCTATCCTATGTACTAGGATATAAAATTTCTCCTTTAAGTGTCTTCCAAGGGGATTTCTACATCCAAACCATGTAGTCTTCCATACCTCTCAGTTCCTCCCCTGCCCCAGCACTTAGTTTAAAAAAATCTTCTCCAATCTGTTACATTTTGTGTTCCAGCTGTCTGATTCCATTTTGGTTAAGGTGAAGTCCATCCCTCCTGAAAAGGCTACTCCTTCTGCTAACGGTTCCCCAGTTCCTAATAAATCTAAATCCCCTCTCCCTACACCAGCATCTCATCCTCATAGGCTAAAATAACTATGGGAGAAGCTTATGCTTATAACAGTTTATGGACTCACTTTGTGACAAAAGGTATGGCAATGTTGTTCCTGTGCCTTTCGGGGTCAGATTTAATATAATAATGCTACCCCTGTCACTTGGTGCAATTATTCTGATCAGTCAGAAGGACAATGCTATGCTGCTTTTGGAGTGGTCATTGTTAAAACACAATTTGATGGAACCTTATGAACTAACTTCAGTCATGTCTTATCACAAACCTCAACCTTTCTTTTTTGAGAATGAATACTTCTGCCCATATTTGCATTTCCACAACTGCTTACAATGCAGTTTTTTAAAATAATCTTCTATGATATGTGGTACTGTCCATTTTCAGATACAGAAGACTAGACCAAATGGACTTCTGATTTGATCTAGTTTGGTAATTCCAGCATCTTCTCCAGTATTTGTTCTGCAGCAGATTGCAACAGAGAGCTATTTGCTTCTCAGATATAAATTACAGAACCAAAATGGAAAAAATAGCATCTGGCTAGCAAATCTGAGCTGTAGGGAAGATTCACAAAATAAAAAAACAGGCAGCTGAGCTGTACTAATACTACATACAACTGAAACTACGTGTCTGGATTAGGGATGTAAAACAATATACAAAAGCATTAAATGTGTAACTGATTGAAATTCAATTGGTTACATAGTTAAAGGTTGTACCAGGAATGTAAGATTAAGGAGGTATTGGAGGGTTCCCCCCCCAAGCCCAGGCTCCTGGCCATCAGCCTCAACCACCATGGGCTCCCGGCCTCTGGCCCCACTGTCACAGCTAGCCTCCCTGCTGTGGGCTTCTGCCGCAGCCAGCTCCCTTTTCTTGAGTCATTAGCAATAAAATACATCTGGCAAGTCGTCCAATGAGCCCTTAAACTAAGGATATATCTTCATTCTCACGTGTGACCAGCTGGTCAAGAAAAGATTGAGAGGATAAGCTGAAATGTCTTGGCATTTCTTAGAAAAGCACCAGACACTTGAAAATGGAAACCATTAACGTCTTGAAACACAGGGGAGTCTGAATTAGAGCTGCCACCTTTTTGAAAATGGAATGCTGGACAATCACGGAAAGCTTGCAAAGTGATGTGAACAGCAGTTCCAGCTCCAGAAACCTGAGAGATTTAGATCCTGAGATGCAATTTCATTTATCTCACAAAAAAACTTGAAAATATCCCATACAATTAAAATGTCAACAACCCCCCAGGCTGCTGGTTTCCTGAGTTAAGCTTACGCCCTGATGCAGCTCTTGATTCTGTGTTCTGCTATTTAAAGCCTGTGTTAAAACTCAGACAGCATGGTATGTGGAATATAAAGTTCAGAGGGCAAGCAGCCTGTGCCTGGATTTATCTCAGTGAGATTACAGAGCTCAGGAGCCTTTGGCCATTGTCTTTGAAAACTTGTGGAGATTAGGGGAGGTCCCAGACTATTGGGAAAAAAGGGAAGGACAATTCAGTGAACTACAAACCAGTTAGCCTCACTTCAGTCCATTGAAAAACCATGGAGGGGCTCCTCAGGGAATCCATTTTGAAGCACTTGAAAAGTGATCAGGAATGATCAACATGGATTCACCAGAGCGAGTCGTTCCTGCCCAACCTGACTGTCTCCTCCTATGAGGAGGTAACTGGCTCTGTGGACATGGGGAAGGGGGTAGTCGTGATATGCTCGGACTTTAGCAGAGCTTTTGATAGGTCTCCTACAGGATTCTTGCCAGCAAGTTATGGAAGTATGGATTGGATAAATGAACTGTAAGGTGGCTAGATTGTCAGGCCCAACAGGTAGTGATTAACAGCTCGATGTCTGGTTGATGGCTGGTTTCAAGCTGAGTGCCCCAAGGATTGGTCCTAGGGCCAGTTTTATTCAACATCTTTATTAATGACCTGGATTGAGGGCATGGATTGCACCCTCAGCAAGTTTGTGGATGACACTAAGCTAGGGGGAAGAGGTAGATACATTGGAGGGCAGGGATAGGGTACAGAATGACCTAGACAAATTGGAGGACTGGGCCAAAAGAAATCTGATGAGGTTCAACAAGTGCAGAGTCCTGCATTTGGAACGGAAGAATCCCAAGCATTGTTATAGGCTGGGGACCGACTGGCTAAGTAGCAGCTCACCAGAAAAGGACCGGGGGATTACAGGGGATGAGAAGCTGGATATGAGTCAACAGTACACCCTTGTAGTCAAGAAGGCTAATGGCATATTAGGGTGCATTAGGAGGAGCATTTCCAGCAGATCTAGAGTAGATATGTAAATGACTAGTCAATTATCCGATAAGCAAATGCTTATCAAATAGTCAACACACTAGTCAAGTAGTCGCTCTTGCCCTCTCCCCGCCCCTGCCTCTATCAGAAAGAGGCAGCAAGTGGGGAGGAAAGAAAGGGGCGCTTCAAAGCGGCAGCGCTGCATGGAGCCCGAGGTCAGACCCTGGGCTCCACACAACGCTGCCGCTTTGAAATGCCGTGTGCAGCCCGGAGCCAGCTGGGGAGTCGCCCCATTGGTCCCATGCTCCACTCAGTGCTTTCGCCTTGGAAGTGTAGCACCAGCCCTGGGGCTGCTGCTATACTTCAAAGGTGGAGGTGTATTATCGACTATGCAAATTGCATCAACTATTCCATTAGCCAATTAATCTAAATTTAACATCCCTAATCTAGAGAAGTGATTATTCACTTTTATTCGGCACTGGTGAGGCCACATCTGGAGTATTACATCCAATTCTGAACCCCCACCCCTCCCCTGCATTGTGATTCTATGATTCAGCAGAGGGCAACCAAAATGATTAGGGAGCTGGAGCTAATGACCTATGAGGAGAGGCTGAGGGATTTGGGCTTGTTTAGCCTGCGGAAGAGAAGAGTGAGGGGGGATTTGATAGCAGTCTTTAGCTACCTGAAGGGAGGTTCTAAAGAGGCTTGAGAGAGGCTGTTCTCAGTAGTGATGGATGGCAGAACAAGGAGCAAAATGGTCTCAAGTGGCAGTGGGGGAGGTCTAGGTTGGATATTAGGAAAAACTATTTCCCTAGGTGGATGGTGAAGCACTGGGATGGGTTCCCTAGGGAGGGGGTGGAATCTCCATTCCT